TTTTCGTTTGAGAATGTGCAGACTGTTTTGTTTAGCGTGTTGTCTTGTTCCATTTCATTTTTGAGTTTGTTTGTTTCGGCGATGATAATTCTGTTTAGTTGATCTCGGCCCATGCGTTCGTTTTGTGTATGTATTTTGGAAAAGTGGGTGTCTAGTTGATGATCCGATGATGTCTAGTTTTTCTATTGTTTTAGGTATTATGAAGTTACCCTCGGTGTCTTTGATGGTGTTGTGTCGTTATACCTGCTTCTTGGATGAGGGAGGCATTTTCTGAGGGCAATTTGAGAGGTGGGATGGGGTTTTGTTCTTTTGGTCTAAAGATTTGATTTATTTGTGGGAACATGTTGGCTGAGTTGTTTTTGGAGATGTTTTTTATTTTGTTTGTCCAGTAATGGTTTATAGAATTTGCGAATTCTTGTTTCAGTTGCGCTTTTATTCTGTATAATAGGTACTTTAGAAATTCTAATTCTTCTCTTTTGTCGTAAGAATAGCTAAATTTTATATTGTTTGTTTTGGAGAGTATGTAGCTTTTATCTCGATGTAGATCTTTTATCTTATTGTTGATATAGGGCTCGCATGAATTTTTTCGTTTTATGTTTGGCACGGATTTCTGGAGAGCGATTTGTGTATGTTTTTCTATTTCGTCTATGAATGAGTCGATTTGTCTATTTGTTAGGTTGACGTTGTTGTAGATGTTTAGGTCGCAGTTTTGTTCGAGTATGTTTTGGAACTTTTTCCAGCCTGTCTTTTTGTAATTGTACCTGAGTGTCTCGGTCTGAGTTTCGAGTGTTAGGAAGTCAGATGTATTTTTGTTTACGTGAAATACTAGGGCGTTATGGTCACTGTCATAGGCTAAGGTTTTGAGAGTGTTATTTGGAGGTAGGTTTTGAAATTTTAGTCGCGCGTCTGCTAGGCATATGTCCAGGTATGAGCCTCCTTTTGGGTAAGAGGGTAGCTCGGAGCTGTATAAGTTTGTTTTGTAGTGGATGCTTTTATTGTCTAGCCAGTTTCTAATGAAGTTGCCTCTCGTGTGTTGTTTATTTCGTTTTTCCAGCTTGTGTGTTTTGCGTTAAGGTCTCTTGCGCTAAGTGCTATTATATAGTAGTTTTCCGATTTGTTGAGCTGCAAGAGTTCGAAAAGATTATTGAATTCGTAGTTAAATTCTTTCTGGTTTCCGTAGGTTGCGTAGGCTGCAGTGATGAATAAATTTTCCTTATTGCTTATTTTTATTTTTATGATCGTTGTTTCTAAGGTTTTGAAACTTGTTATTCTATCAATTAGAATTGTTTTGTATTTTATGGGGTTTTTTATGAGGATCGCTGTTCCTCCTCCTTGACTGGCGTTCGGTCTGTCGTGTCTTATCATGGAGTAGTTTTTGAAGTGTACATTGTGTCTTTTGTTAAGTTTTGTTTCTGAGATGAGTACCATATCGGGGGGTTCTTTATTTATTAGGGTTAGCATACTGTATCTTTTTTGGTTTGAAATTAAATAGTTAGCATTTATTGCAATTATTTTCAGATGCTTTAGGTTAAATTTATGTGTTTTTTGCTGTAATTGTTGGTTTAGCGTATTTTGGTTATTCGTCATCTGTACTATTGAAAGCGTTGAAGATGGTGTCGAACCTTTCTTCGTGCGTTGATAGTGTATTTTTTATTTCATTTAATTGTATTTGTTGTTCTTTTAACGCTTGGAGGATATCTTTTTTAAAGTCTTCAATAACGTTTATAATGTTTAGATGGGGGGAGTTATCGATTGTAATTGTGCTTTGGCTTGAGCGCGGATCTAAGTTTGTTAATTGTGATGTGTTTTCGATTGTTTGATTTAATTTTGTTTGTTGTTTCACTACGTCAGAGAACTTTAGTTCTGGGATGTATTTGCGGCTTATTTGGACAATTCGTTTTATCTTTGTTTCTTTGTCTTTTTTGATTTTATCGGCTAGCTTTTTACGAAGCTCTACGAGTTTGGGGCAACCTTTGTATGACGCGGTGTGTCCGTAGTTTTTGCAATTAACGCAGAATATTTTGTCTTTGGTTACTGCGTTTTCTCTTTTTATTTTGCAGTCGCCTGGACCATGGGGCTCAGTGCATTTAACACAGCGGTAGTTTAGGTTGCAGTTTTGTGCTGTGTGACCTAATCGCTGGCATTTCTGGCATTGAGTTATGTAATCATTTTTTTTTGTATGTGGCATTGGGTTATGTCATCCTTTTTTTTTTTATTATTATTTTTTCCCATTTTATTCTGAAGTAGTTAAAATGGTTAACTTTTAACAAGTTATTTATATTACTGTCGGGGGATACTTGTATTATGTAAATTGGGAGCAATATGTTGTTCTCCCTTGATCTTTTTGTCGTGAATCGTGTGACTTTTGTGAATTTTACGTCGTCAATTTGCAAGGCTTGTAGGTCTGTAAGTATTTCTGTTTCGGTGTAACTATTGTCTAAACCTTTTAACAAGTATGTATGGTGTTTCTCTGTTTTGGGTGTGTACGTGTAAAAAGTTGTGTTAGCTGAGAGGAGTGTTTGTTTTGCTTTATGGAAATCGGGTAGGTTTCGGAGGTAGAGTGCATGTTTACCTGAGTGTATTCTTTTAATATGGAACTGTTTGATGTCCGCTACTTTCTTTATGAGCGTTACCGTGTCCTTTGGGTCTTGTAGCGTTATGTTGATGGGCGGCGGTTTGTTATCCCTTGTAGTGGATGGGGCGCTCGCACGCTCCTCCGCGGAGCATCCGGTGGGGCGTCCGTCCGGTGCTCGGTCCCCCCTTGGCGATGCTGGTGGCGCAGGGCCTCCTGGGTTGTACGATGGGGTCCGTCGCCCCTACGGCGCCGATTGTCCCGGTGGCATGATGGGACCGTGCCTTCCCATTTTGCCTCGTAATGTTTCGTTTTTCTTTTTTATTTGTTCTAGCGTTGAGCTCGAAGTGGAGTAGTTTGATGGTCCCCATTGTGGATGAGGCTCTGGTTCAGATTGTAATATACTGAATCTGTTTTTTGTTATGATCGCTGGAGGCGAGGTAGCTCTTATGGGCTTCATGTTTTTGATTTCTTTAGCCTTTTCCTCTTGGCTGGGGTGATAATCTACAACTGTGTTTCCTAGGATGTTTACTAGTCTTTTCGTCCTGGCAACCAGGTTTGGTTGTGGGTTGAGTTTCCGTGTCTTTTGAACGGGAAGTCTTAAACTATTGTTGATTTCCTTGGCTGTTTTTTGTGTGATTATTTTTCTCTTGATGGCTTTTTTTATTGGGTCCACGGTGAGTTCCGTTTCGTTGCTTTTGGCTTCATTATCGGTAGCTTCTATCTTTTTATAGTTTTATTTTGTGTTATTTTATTTTATTTTCTTTTTAATCTTATTTGTGCTTATAGGGATGATGTCAATGTAGTATTTTTCACTTTTTGTCACTTGTTTCTTCTACTTTAGTGAATGTTTGTCTATTTTGACGCGCGCACTGAGAGGTCCATCCTGCTCGGCGGTCTACAGTCAACTCCGATGGGAACGAGTGCACTCAGCGCGGCATGGGCGTTGGCACATAAAAAATAAGTGGCTGACCCGCAATCTGTATTACTGTCTGCCCTAGGGTGACCAGGTTCGTTACCGAAATTCCTCGAACTTCAATTGATTCTAGCTCGTTGATGATTACTGAATCGAGTAAAGCAGGTTTCTTAATAATATTGATTTCTGATCCGAAGTCTAGTAATAAACTTGTCTTGGTTTTTAAGTCTGGGAGACTATTCGTGCAGTTCGAGTATTTGCAGGATCGTTTAGCTTTATTGAAATAATTCGGAGAGGTCGTCGTGTGAATCTAAGTCCGGCTCTTGATGATTCTTCTTTGTTTTTTCGTGGACTTTCTTTTCCTTTATTTGTTGACTCTCCACATTTTCCGATTGTTCTTGTGCACAAATGCACGATGGGTTTATCCATAGCGTTTGTGTGTTGTGGCGCCAGTCTCGCGGGGATCGTTGCCCGCGTTCTGTTTACTGCCGTAGGCGTCGGCCTCCTTGTTGCCGCCTATACTCTGGCGATTCGGAGCATCGTTCCTTCGAGGCTCGCCCCGTTCTCCCGAAGGACGTGTTCGGTTTCCCGATTGTCTCGATGCATAGGGTATGATTATTCCAACGTCTACTCGGGCTTTAAATTTGTAACAATCTTTTACTAAATGCTGAGATTTTTTGCGATAGTTACATGTTATAGTATTTTGTCTTGGAGCGTTTGGACGATTCTGCGACGGCGGTACAAATTTTCAATCTTGGCGGCTGTTCCCGATGTTGTTCAGGGAGCGAACGTTGTTACGGTTGTAATTGTTCGGAGGTGTCGGTCATTGGTATCGCGTTCTGTCGTTAGCGCGTCTTAACTCCCGTGTTGCTTTCACGGCTTGGCGGTACGCATCATCTAAGGATTGGTATCCTGCTACTTTGACTTGCAAATACACCTCGTTTGGGAGCTCCTTAACGAGAGCCTCCCTTGTGTCCCAATCTATTGTATCTTGAACATCTTGGGATATGATGCCATACTCGCATCTTTCCCCATCCATTATTGCCAGCCTGAGATTTCTGACGTGGTCCATATAATCTATCTTCTCTCGGTCGTTGAAAGACCACCTAATATTCACCTTTATATTCGTTAACAGTTTTTCTTGGGCGGAACATATCTTTTAATTTGTTTCCGAAATCGTTTAAACTCACTATCTCACTGTCTTCTACGGCGAGAAACGCGTGCCCGCGAAGCTTATTCATTAATAATTTCATCAACCGAGGCTCTTAATGCCTTGATACCATATTTCGCGCTCGCTTGCATGCCCTTAAAAACTTGAATGCAGACGGTCGGCGTCCGTCGAACACAGGTACCGACTCGATCGCGTCTTTTAACTTAATCGGTCGGGAGTTACTATCGGTCAGTCTCGTCTCTCGTCGTGTTATCGGTGATAATGCAGGTATCTCGGTTTCGTTTGTTACCCTACTTGTACGCACGTCTTCCTCTAATTTAGCAAATCTTAGGCTTATGTCGGTCAACACGCGAAAATTTTCATCCCATGCTTTCAATTTTTCTGACAACGTCAAAAGCGTATCCTCCTTCAGTGAGTCTCGTGCGGTCGCCATGTTTCTTGTTTATGTTATTGTAATACGCGTGTGAACTTCAATCCTCTGTGGAAGTCTATCCCACCGCTGCCACCAACAAATTTGTTTCGAATAATTTGTTACGTTCTCAATGACTTGTCACATTTATTTTCCTTGCTATTACGTCGTATACAATCGTTCTTTATTCTTGATTGATTTGATCGGTTTGCGATTCGTGCTATGCGCGTATCAGTTTATTGATCGGTTAATTAATGGCCCATATACTTTTTAGTTTATTAATCGATTCTATTTAATATATTTTCGCGTTTCTTACATATATATATATGTCAGAGAAGCGTCAGTAATAGAGTTGTGGGCATTTGCTAGACCTCCCTTGGAGTTGGCCAGGGTCGTGTTATAACGAAGATACGGCCTGATACAACGGGTATGAACACTACCGATTCAACCATCAACAGCGGCGATTAGGCCCTCGCGACAATAGTGATAGTGGTCTTAGGTTCGATAACGAATCCACGGTCAACGGGAGGATGGATATGCTTGCTCTAACTCAAACGTGTACTGATCGTAAGGCGCTATTCCCTTCCTCGATGAGGTCTCAGTCAGGAATGCCTCTTCGTCCCAACGACGCCACCGAGATAAACTCTGGTGGGGTATTTAAGTACCCAAGATCCTCGGATCGACGTCGCTGTCGATTGGTCAATTTGGGACAGAAGCTGCCTGTCCGTTTGCAAATAGAAGCTGCCTGTCCGTTTGCAAAAAAAAACTTAATTGCCGAAAAACCCAGGTTTTATAGCGGGTCCTCGGGCTACCGGGACTTGTGCTGTGTACGTGCCTCAACCTCAGGTATTACTTGTCCTAAGGAACCGTTAGCGTGTTTTGCTGTCCGATACCTCTATGGGTAGTTCCTTTAATGAGGGTAATAACACCGCTCCGCACCTTTGTTAGATGGAGCGCCCGTCCCGTTGACCGCGGTTACGTTGGACAGGTTGTCGCCCCGAGCCAAAGCTCACCGTTACTAATCCCGGACGGTTACCATCGGCTTGGATAACTGCGATTGTTTCATTACGGCTATAGTAGACTCTAGATTACAATGTTAGGAGATTATCCTGAAGTTTCAGAGGGGCCCCGGCGTCCTTTCGTCTCCGACATATACATTCCTATTTTGTTAGTCTATTAATCGCCCTTATTTAATAGAATTTTATATGTGCCAACATTTAATTAATCTTTTATTAATGTATTATACCGTGCGTTCGTTTGTGTGTTCGAATCACGGACGAGACGGGACGAAACACGACGGCACCAGCTCTGACGTGTAAAATAGAGTGAAAAGAGCGTTTAAACGTCGAAAGATAAAAAACAATAACGAAATAACGCTTAGTTTTCGTGTAAATCGGCGAAAGATTGCGTTTTGCAGGCTGCTGTGCTTGTTTCGACTGTGAAAGTGGCGTGCACTACATTCGGCGTGTAGAATGGGGTGAAACGACCGTTTAAACGCCGAAATATCTCATACAGAAACGAAATAACGCTTAGTTTTCGTGAAAATCGAGGAA